TATCGCCGCGTATTTTCTAGTCCGCAACAATACTATATAAACAAATAACTTACGAGCTAATGAGATGACCTAGGCTAATTCAAATCTTACTTGTTGGTTCATTAAGTTTAACTCGTGAGTTTTTTATTGAGCCAAATTCGAGCCATCTTGACTCAATCGCACCATAATTTTGCGCTTAATAATTTCTCGAGAGCTGCACTGTCAAACCGGCAATTTTTTTTAATGATAATAATTAATTCGTAATATGTGATTCAACTTATAATAATTTAGAGAAAAAAATATTCTTAGACGGCCACTGTCATTTTACATGAGCGGTCAGTTCCATCTCTATACAATATTTTGTTCTTTCTGTCAGGCATTTCTCGTATACTTTTATTGAATTCTGACGCAATTTATGTCCACCTGCAAATGACCTCGCATAACAGCCGCAGTGGCAGCCGGAGAAGCCGCAATGGGGTTGGAATTGGATGGAGCGCTGGATGGCAACCCAGCAATGGCAGCAGCAGCAGCACCAGCATATGCGCCCAACTGATCCCGAGGCATCCATCGCCACCGCAACAAGCACCGAAGATCTCTCCGAGAAGATGGTCGAGATGGACACTGCTCGAAGCCATCCAAAAGAAGAGATCAACGCAAGGGCTGCTCGCCCTCCCAGCTACATGGCAGCCACGCAGTCGGCCAGAGCCAAGGCCCGGACGCAGGCGGGGAGGCTACAGCGGAGGGAGCCGGCGATGGGCGGAGGAGCAGTGGAGGGCGGTGGGATTCGGGTGCAGGGAGGGCGCAACGGAGGGTATAGTCCGGAGTGGAGCGTGGGAAGCGGAGAGCGGACGCCGCCGCCGTTGGGAGGGCGGGGAAGAAAGGTTGTGTACGGGTGATGTGCGGCGTCGGTGGAACGGAGAGATGGAAATGTAGCTATGTCTGTTGATTATTTCTGTTTTATTGATTGTAATGAGGACACGAAATTGGGGGTTTGTATTTTGTTTATTTTAGGGTTGTGTAGTATGCATAACTTAGATAATTATTTATGGAAAATAATTTGGTGTTTAAGCTTAGGTGGAATTTAGTTATTTTGGATTATTGGGAACATTTTTTTTTTCCTCGAACCAAATTTTATTCCAAACAAGATAAGGGAAATACAACAAAGACCCAAAAACAGCCGAAGACAAATTACATCAGATAACGAAAAATGTAAGCAAACTCAACAAAACAAATAATCAAAGATGTAGGGAAAGGAGCCAAATGCAGACTCAGGAAATGGTGAGCTCCCTGCAACCACCTTGCAGTCAGGCACAGACCATCCATTGATAACAACCACCCATAAACACATCATCATCCAACAACCCACACAGACAACCACCAAGCAGAAGGTCTTACCACCAAGGTTGTCGACCAGCCCGGGCCAAAAAAGGTGATAAGCAGGGAGCCACCTCATCATCATCCAAATCGTCAAGAAAGCCAGGGGATAACCCAAAGACTATTTCTTCTTAGACTTACTTTTATATTTTTTGCCTTCGCCATTGAGTACTACTTGATCAACACCCCACCCCACCATGAAACTATACATATCATCATTTACATGGTCACCAAAATCATATATCACCCTCCCCCCACAAGGTGTGGAAAGGGATTCGTCCATATCCAACCGATCAGATTAATCCAAAATAGAGCTTTTCAAAGATTGGGCCAGGTGGGCTTTCAAATTTGTGTTAGACATAACTGAAATAGGAATCTCAACATACTCCGTAATTCCCTTTGAGACATTCACAATAGGAGACAAATCAGACTCAACATCAACCAGAGGCACGAAAACTCCGACATTACCCAGCTCAGCCAAGGTTTCACAACCCCCAGCAACTAAAGAAAATGAATTATCACCCGACTCCACAACATCAGCACAACTAGGCTAGCTATAAGGTTAATGCAACAATAATTAGCATTCATGGAACCTTTAACACCCTCTACACTAGCTATATTAGTGCAACTAATAGATAAAGGCTCACATCCTCCCAATAAAAACAGAAGCAATGGGGTAACAACATCCCCTCCAACAGAGGGACCCAGATCCTACTCTAAATCCTTGGAAACAAAAGAGCCATCATTAACCAAAACTTTATTTTCGTCAACTACATCAATAGACCCACGCTCAAGAACCAAATCGTTGGTAACATAAGGAACCATATTATCCAAATCCAGAGTTAAATCAATGACACCAGCAGCCGATACAATAGGGCCAATAGAAGTCAAAACCATATGTAAACCATTAACAACGACTTGAACAACATTATAATTCACAGGTAAAACATTATCATTATTGGTCTACTCAGAAACAATAGGATTAATATCACCCACATTATCCGAAACCAAATGGGGATGATGTATATGACATTCAGGTTTCGAGTGCCCCAAAGATTTGCAATGAGAACAATAATAGAGAAAAGGCTCCATAACAACCTTGTGTGTGGTGTTATTCAAATTGGGGTTTTGAATGTGCATAAAATAGCTTTAATGTTTTATCGATTACTAACTGTGAATGATGGAAATTACTTGGGCAAGGATTAGTTGATATGTGAATTTAGGTTCTATCTGATAAGTAGAAAGTATCTCATATACTACCATAGTCACCGACTATACATCCTTTTGCCATCAGCTATACTAGATTAAGCTACACTATTAAACTCTAACTGAATCTTATCTCACCATCCATAGCTTTCTTAGTTGTATATAAACAGTGTAAATGCTACAGAAAAATGCAAGGAATGAAACTACATTCCGCCCCACAACTTCTTCTATATCTGTGATTTCTTCTCTTCTATTCTCTTCTTTTGGCTCTCTGTTTTCTTCTTATTTCCATTACAATTTCAGCTAAAGAAAGTTATCACTATCCGACTCACTGAAAAAGAGGATAAATGATTTGATTTAGAGTGAATGATGAAAAAGCTAATATTTGGAGCTAAGTTAATATTGTCTAATGGCAAGTAGGTGGAAAAGGGTAAATAAATAAAATAAATAACCTATAAAGAATTTAAGTATTTTGGTCATAACTTACATCAACAAAAGGAGGTGGGGGAGAAGATTTCACTAATTAAGAAGGAAAATATATTGCTCTCAATCACAAGGCTCCCTCACTTAGTTTAAAATTTTATATATTTTTATTAGAGCTTGAGCTTGTCTTGTATATCTTGTACTATATCTTTAGGGCAACATCCAAGGATGAAATATTTATAAATGGTTGCCACCTTAATTCGATTATTGGGTGTATACACAAAGGACCGCGTGTGAATGATTTTGGCTATGATAGGTGTAGTGGGTTACATGGCAATCTGAGGAGTGGTCATGTGCTACATGGTGAGCATCTAATGGTCAATTAACAAGTAGATGATTATGATTTATTAAAATGATGATGATTTATGGAAGAAAATTTTCATACTATTCTAGAGAATTTTGTGATGCGGTCGCTTTGTACATTCACGTTTAGTTTGGGACGAATTTATTACAACTTCTTAAAACAACTTTTTAGAACAAAAATTTTAATTTTTATACTAGAAAGCTGCTTTAAGAAGCAGTAAGAAAGCCATCCCAAGTGGCCAACTAACATCTTTTTGATGACTAGAGATTAAGGGAGATAGAAATAATATCAAGACAGAGATAGAATCTTTTAAAATCTTATTAATAAACTCAAGATGATTGAGGCTTCGTTTGGGACAACTTTTTTACTGCTTTCTAAAACAGAGTTTTAGTACAAAATTTTTTATTTTTGTATTAAAACTCCGTTTTAGAAAGCAATAAAAAAGCTGTCCCAAACGAAGCCTGAGTCATATGAGCTACCTAGTTAGTGGCCTAGCTAATCACTTTCATCTTCCTTTCTTGAATTTCATGTTCTTTCAAGACTTGCAAACAAAGGTGAGTGATCTTAGTGAGAGTGATACTCCGAGAATAAAAAAGAGAATGCTTAAGAAATAATCTATTATGGCCGCAAAGATAGTTGTGGGGAAATATTTCTTAAATGTATAGTTTTTAAGTATAAAAATTTCTAGTTCAAGATATTTTTATATTAAAAAGCTGCTTTAAATTCAATAATAAAATTATTTCAAACAAAAGCTTTTTTTGGGATGACTTTCTTGTTGATTTCTAAAATACGTTTCTAGCACAAAGATTTTTTGAAATAGAAATTTTTGTATTAAAAAGCTGATTTATAAGGCAGCAAGAAAACCGTCCCAAATGAAGCCAAGGCCTTAAATGCTTGAATACAAGTGCAATAGAGCTCATGACATCTATTTCCATATTTACAAAGGTCATTTAAGTTATAATGCTCCATATGTTGTAAATTTGAAAACTTGCCTTATTTTCATGAAAAATCAGAAATGTTTGAATAATACTAAAATATGTCAATAAATAATGTTATCATCTGAATCTCATTTGAGTTTCGCATGTAAATTTTAGTAAAATTTTGGAGCCATTTAGAACATATTTTCAATTTATTATATTATAATATTTTTTAAATGTATTTTGACACTTAAATTAACAATTATTTAATATTTTTTACATAAAAATTTATATTTTTATATTTTCAACAAAATAATATATTTAAGAAGAATTATTTTCCATGCATTTCATTCACAACTGAATGAGCTGAAAAGATTAAGCACAGCTTAGTTTTACAACTCAGTAAGTTTTATAAAATCAAAATTTCAGTATTTTTCATCTCTCTCTCTCTCTCTCTCTCTCTCTCTCTCTCTCTCTCTCTCTCTCCATCTCAGTCATTTTTTGGAAAATACAAAACCTGAGAGCAAGTTCTACCTCACTTGCAAAATCCTTTCAATTTCCAGGAAATATCATATTAATCAAAGAAAGCAAATTTGGTTCGAAGTCTTCTTCCAATTGATATAAAATAAAGTTTCTTGTTTTAACACCATTTCATCTTCCTCTCAAAGAATTGAATGAAAACTTTAGTACCAATTTACAAAATCTTTTCTTTGCTTCTTTAAGGAGAAGTGAAGCGCAGCTACTTGCTTTGAAACATTAGTGCTTAAGCTTGAAATATTTAACATTTCGTTTAAGACAGTTTTCTTACTGTTTTTTAAAACTATTTCGTACAAAAATTTATAGTTTAAAAATTTTTTGTACTTAAAATTTTTATTTAAAAAAAAAGTAACAAAAAAAACTATCCCAATTGAAGCATCAAGCAACACTTTGACAAATAACATTGGATAAGTCAGACATATCTAATGAATTTTGTACGACCTCTTCCACTCAGGTTAATGTTATCAAACAATGCTTTTGCCAATAACCTCGGTGGGTCAAACATATTAGGTGGATGTCTCTCAACCTCTTCCTAACTAGCTAACTTCATCAAGTATTTTTCCAATCCATAACTTGGAATATGTTGAAAAATATTTGATAGGCTCTCTCCATCCTCTAAAGAAACAATGATACCTATGGGAGAAGAAGCTTCATATATATATATATACATGAATTATAATTTAACATCACAACTTCGTAAAAAACTTAAACACATAATTTTGGATTCTGAGGGCTTTGATATCCAAAAATAGGGGAACTGATTGTCACAAAAAAATCTTGATTGGGCACAAATCTTGAGGCATATCCAAGTTGAAAACTTTCAAAATTAAATTTGGGACCTTTCAAACTCCAATTTTAGCTAGCTAGATTGAATATCTCAATGAGACGACGAACCAAATGGCACTGAAATCAGTATGATCCATGATGAAATGGGGCCAAAGCAAGGAATTGAAGCATATTTAAAAGGTTTAAATTATTATTTGGATGACCAGATGATATTTAAATATGGCATGCTTAGAGTTGAATCGAGTGGCTTGATGAGACAAACCCAACGAGCCTAAGATTGCTTTATTCTAACATTATTAAGGCATACAAATGCTTGAAAGATGCTCTAAGATCTGGGGAATCAGAATAGGCCGTCATCCAATGGAGCACTTTGAACCTACTCGAGATCTTCTTCAAATTTACATGATGTGCCATGTATAAAAATATATAAATAGACCCATAGTTTCTAGATAAGGGGGAGCTTTGGCTGGAGATTGGAGATAGCTCTCAGGCTTCAAGGATTCAGAGCTCCACCCAAGCACATCACAGGCAAACTCCTGTCGGTAAACCGAACCACTGCCTAACCACTGTTGATCTCCACCAAACTTTCATGGACCACCACCGGAGCTCCACGAAACTTCCGCCCATCACCGTCGGATCTCCGTTAGACTTCCGCGTGACAACCGACCTCCATCGCATGACACCAACCATCATCACCATCGTCCGACCACCAATCTTCGTCGAATTAATGCTCGACCTTCATTAGACCAACGCTTGGCCACCAATCACCACTAGACCACAGACCGACCGTCGACCACTGACGGACCTCAGCCAGATTTTTATCGGACCACCACTCGGCCTCCGAACGCCGTCAGCCTTCCACCCGATCGCTGTTAGACTTCCACTCGACTGCTGTCGAATCACTTTAGGCTAGCCGCATCGTACTTTTCTAACTCTCTAAATTAATATAATTGCACTACCTCTAAGTTAAGTGACATGTCAACCTTTGTAATTGACCCAAAATTAGTGGAGTCTTTTCCACTACAGGAAAAATGGCTATTACCGGCGGTTCATTGGCCGCCGGTGTCACCGGCGGTTTAGCCGGCGGTTAAACCGCCGTTTGTTAACGACGGTTTGCCGGTGTTTTTTATATGTTAAACCGTCGGCAAACCGCCGGATTATAAATAAAACTGGCGGTTTAGCGGCGGCTTTGACCGCCGTTGATAAGTAATTTTTCACCGGCGGTTTGGACCGCCGGAAAACCGCCGGTTAGTGCCCTAAAACGACCAGCTTCTTTATTAACTGCTTTATTAACTGTTTTATTAACTGTTTCTCAATTATTTTTTTTTTAATATTGCAGATGGCTTCAGGCGACGATCCTCCTCGTAAATCATTTGCCTCAAAGTTCCGCCGGAAGAAGATTACGACTAGCAGAGTACCCACACAGACTGAGGTAGGTGAGGGGCCTTCAGTTGCACCAGATCTACCTACACCACCACCGCCACCACCTGCCAGGAGCCAGCAGCCTTCACCAGAGCAGGGTCAGGGACAGTTAGATCCACCTCTTGTTGCACCTCCATACTTCCCTGGCCACTTCCCTCCCAGCTCGACGAGTCCTCGCTTCCCCTCTCCAGATCCGACACATGCTTCTCCATTCTATCTATATTACCCCCCACCATCATCACAGGCTGCTGGTCCATCCACTGGTCCTCACCCTCCTTACCCTTACCCATATTACTACCCCTATCCGGTGCAGCATGAACAGGGTGGACCATCACGACCACCAGAGGTTGGCGCTAGCGATCCTGCAGCAGCAACAGATAAGCGTCAATACATCGAGCCTGACGGCGATAAGTAAGTTCAATTTAAGTTTAAACCGGAAATACCGACAGTTAGACCGCCGGCTTTCGCCGGTTAATTAACCGGCGGTCTACTGGCGAAGGCCGGCGGTTTTAAAAAAATACGACGGCTAACTAAACCGCCGGCAAACCGTCAGTAAACCGACCGCCGGTAGGCCGTCGGTCAAATAGCCGGCGGCGTCACAGCCGAAAAACCGCCGGCATAAAATCCGGTTGAAACCGGCGGTCAGAACCGTCTGAAAACCGCCGGCTTCATAAACCGCCGGTGATAATTTCCTACGCGATTTTTTCCGGCGGCATAAAATCCGCAGTAAAGCCGCCGGTAGTTAAAAAAACCACCGGTGAATATAGGCTAACCGCCGGAAAAAACCGCCGGATTTCGGCGTTTTTCCTGTAGTGTTCATCTAGGCTAGGCGGCCCCATAGTTTTTCTCTTTACGGTTTTCCTTGTAAATTTTTTTGTGCTTTTTCTCTCTCTCCAACTATTTGTTTGTGTGTTGGATTTCCGCGCATCAATTGTTCAAAAAATTCACTCACTCTACCATGACAAATATATTAACCAACAAGAAATGTGTTACTTTTACACCATTTATTTTACTTTACATTCTTTTGTTAGCCAACCAAGCAGCTCCTTAGTGATGTAAATATACGAACTTTGATAAAAAAATGAATATTTAACAAATTTCTATATTTTAGTCCCTATTATTGTACAGTAAAAAAATTAAGTTAGTGATTAAAAATTTAAACCATAAATTTAATTTTTGAGCTCTTAGTTATGTCTCTAGAGTATTAATGAATTTTTATGAGGGGTTTAATTAGTGGTGAAATGAGAGGATATTAAAGGGTGACTCTCAAACTCTTTTTTCAAATTAGTCGTGAATACAGAAGAATAAAAGGCCATTACCATCCTCTATTTTCAAATTAATGATAAAATTAGAGGATATCCAAGTGTGGCTCTCACCCTCTATTTTGAAATAAACGTTTTTATGTGTATTTATGTATAGTATTTTTAATAAAAACCTTTTTTTTTATTGTATATATAAGATATAAAAGTTTTCCTTCCTAATTTGAATTATATTTTTTGCCCCTCATTTAAAAGGAAGAAATTTGCCTTTATAAATTTTAATTATAACACATGTAATTGACCAAATATTTTTGCTATATATTTATTTACAGAAATATACTCAAAAATTTATTTTGAATAAATTACCCCATATAAAAGATGATATATTCGTTAATCATTCATTATATCATACGTCAGTTGAAACTATTTCAAACATGCTAGAGTTCGAACTATTTCAAACTTGCTAGAGTTCGAACTAATTCAAACTCTTGCAGTATGTTGATCGAACCCTCACAATACATCGTTCAAACCCTTGCGGTACTTCACTCGAACCTTCATGATTCGTTGTTTGAACCATGATTAGAAACCCAACAAGAATGCCAACGGTATGAGAATGCATAATTTATGATGCGAGCTCACTTGAGAGGGGGGGGGGCTTTGATATACCAATTTTGTGTGAAGTAGAATAATTAGTTATACGAGCTAGTTAAGGTAGGTTTGAACTTAGTTTTAAAACAAATTTAACGCTTCATTTGAGACTGCTTTCTAATAGTTTTTGATATAAAAATTATTTAAACTGAAAACTTTTACGCTAAAAAGCTATTTTATAAAATCATAAGAAAACCATTCCAAAGGAAACCTAAATCAATTCAAATCAATTTTACAAAAGTTTGATTTAAAAAAAATAATTTGAGAATACAAAATGTTATTTCTTATTAGAGATAACTTCTTCCAAAAAAAAGATTTGCCATATTTCTCTTAATAAATACATATCATGTACTATGAGAGCTATAAAGCCAATTTCATCTCCAAAATCCCATTCAATATCTTAGCTGCAATAAAATAATTACAACCACAATCTTAATCCCACCAGCACAAATCTCAAAGCAGAGATAACGCTACGTACAACTCGCACAACTCCGTGACTACTCATTCTTTCCACAGTTCCAGGCCACTTAATGACCCCACGCCCAACAGCAAGACTAAACATTTAAGCCCCGACTCGACCTAGCTCACTTAAAGCATGAGCCAGCAGCCATGAAATCTGTGAAGTCCCCCTCCGTCCCTCTCTCTTCTCCTGTGATCTCCCATAATATGCTTTTTCACCACCTTCTCTCCTTTACTTACTCTTACCTGTGACGAGCTTCAATACACCTCTCCTCCTCCTCTCCTGCAATATAAATATACAGATAACGTACACTTAGAGACCCGCACAGCTTCAGCTCTTCACCTATTCAAATCAAGCTAAGGAAGCCATGACTCTTTCTTCTCCTCCTTTGTCTATCTTCATAGTAATCGTCCTTCTCCCATCTGTTGTTCATGGAAGACAAATTGACAGAAGACTCTCCATTGGTAAGTTAATATATTACTTACTTATTCTCCTCATTTACATATATGTACTTAATTAACTTGCTCTTTCAGGCCATAACAGCGAAGCTGTCGTTGGTGGGCAGAAAGAGCAATACAGAAAGGAGAAGATAATGAGGGCGCTGATGGAGAGAAGGCCGAGCACCCTAATGGTGGCGGGCTCGAGCTTGCCTAACTGCTCGCACGCGTGCGGCTCCTGCACGCCTTGCCGTTTAGTGATGGTGAGCTTCATCTGTGAAGAAGAAGCAGAGACTTGTCCGATGGCTTATAAGTGCATGTGCAATAGCAAGTCCTACCCGGTTCCTTAATTAATCAAAGCAATTAACTTGTTAATGGAGAAGTAATTAGTGACTGATTAGATTAGGAAGGGTGTATTAAGTGACTGAACTTTTCTTTAAAAGAAATTCGGATTTAGGTTTAGGAATCTAACTATGAGAATATGTAAGCTGTTGTAACTTGTATTAACGCTTTTTTGGGAAGATGATTTATCAGTAGAAATGGAGTTTTTTTAATTAAATTTAAGGAATGAAGATCGAATCATTATCTTTCTTGTTCATTTAATGACCAAAGGGATTCAATATGCTTATCAGTAGGAATTTTATTTGGATTTACTTTCACAACAGTGTTGAGATGTAAATCAAGAACAAAACAAATAAGAAAAAAAAACTTAGCGGAGAAGATCACCATGAAAAATTCAGAAATGGGAAAAAAAATTAGGGAGAAACATCATACTAAGATATTCATTATGAAAAATGAGAGAAATTATATAGATGTTTACTCTCGCACTGTCTTCCACTACTCCAAACGCAAATGTAAGAGTTTCTCTCAAGTTACAGGACTTCAAAAATGAATAATTTCATAAAAAATAATGGAAAAATTGACTTAACCGACCCACAACACTAGGAACTATAGCCATAGGACGTGACTTTTTTCTCAAACGGGTTCTACAATGTACTCTTGGCGTTGAATTTTCAACACCTTGGCATCGTACCAATCCCTTGAGTAGGGAGCCTGGCCAGTGCCCCTCCTGCAACCCCCCAATAAGCTCCTCATCAAACTCAATCAATGGAATTGAGGTATAAGTTAACAGTTAATCTAATTGATCGGCATAATCAGATTCCACATAAAATTTATAAATAGCTGCCTAACTACTGTTAAAGCACATTGTAGCTAGCTGATGGTAGCTAGATAAGTTTTCAACGGTTCAACGCTATATCATATAGATTACGATGGGTCGCAACAGGAAATAGAAATCCATTGTGAGGATCCTTCAAACTTTTGCCGATTTCAGAGGCCCACTGATGTTAGAAAACCGTTGAGAAATTTTGTTCTATAATGATGAATACCAGATTAGCACAGCAAATTTTCTATAACTCGGAATATATTTTTATTTATTTTAAGATTAAACTTTTTAGGGCTTCCTGCATGCTGATAGTTCAATATCAAAATGCTGTTTTAGACAAGACATTCTGTGCTTGATTTGGACAAATGAAAGGAAATGTCTGGTCACACATGCAATTCATGCATTATTTTGGTGGTTGGGAGGAAAGATTTTGGAATCAAGATTTGTATATCTAATATGTGATTTAGAAATTAGGGTATCTTAGGTACAACTTTTAATTATTTTTATTTATTTTCTTATTATTTTCTTTCTACTTTTTTTGTTACTTTTAAAAATTTTTGTGGTGAGAAGCTAAGAAAATGACATTTCAATTTTTTAAGAAAAAATATTATTTAGTATCCACAGTTGCATTCAAAAAGTAATTTTTTTTTTCACAATAACTTCATAATCATCTAAGGGTGTCAAAACCGGGTTACAGGTGAAAGCCAAAATTGACCCGGCTTTAATTGACTCAACCCGACTCTGGTCTGATTCTAGAAATGGGTCCTAATCCAAATTCAAAACTGACCTATCCCAAACCGTGACGGGTCACGATGCGGAATTCACGTGAGAAATATTTGGTCAGTTCCGGGTTGTGTTTTGGTTTTCCGGTTGACTTAAAATGGATGCATTTCTCACACAGGTTAAACCTAAAATTTTGGGATCAAATTCAGATCAGATTTTCGGATAGTGTCGAATATTGACACCCTTAAAATCATCTTTGTAAAATATTGCATATGTTCCTTTTCTAATTTGTCCAATGTTATTTAAAAAAAAAAAAAAACTTCGTACAAATCAGTAATCCATCTAAAGTCAATGCCAATCGATTTGAGCCTTACAAATTGATGAGAATTAAATTAATCCAAAAGGACTACTTTACGGTCAATGTTGTGATATTTTATTAGCACAATCAAAGCTGATCCGTGCTTTTAAAAATAATTGCGGTCATCGAATTGAGCTCTTCCCAAGTATTGAAATTTGAATTTTTATTATTTTCTTTAAGAAATTATGTTGGGCCTTAAGTTTTTATATTTTATTAAATAATTATTTATTTAATAATTGTACAACTTGTCAACTTGATCTATTAAGAGGATCCATTACTTCGATCTTGACCAAACGTAATTAGTACTATGTAGATTCATCAACGGAGTAATTTGATGTGAATTAGTTCTATTAACCATCTTCAATGATGGACTGGATCCCATGAACAGAAAACTATATATATCTGGATGTATATTTAAATATAAAATTTAAAGAATCAGACTTTGGATCATCTAAACAGTAATTTTAGCATATTTATAGGCAAACTGAATATCTCCGTGAGTCGAATTCAATGACACCTGAATTTACTCTCTACATAGAGGTCGCTTGGACCTTACCTTGAGACTTAGGAGAGCTCAGAGGCTTGAAGAATAACAAAGGTTCACTAGGGCATGATAGTTGTATTACTACTATTGGACCACCTCCTCTCAGTTGCCATCAAATCACTACTTGATCACAATCGTTAGACCACCTTTTGATTGTTGCCATTGGATCAAAATTTCTAGACAAATGTAGCATGATTATGATATTTTGACAGCCATTATTCGACTCTAATCCTGTGATGCCCTAAGATCGAATTGAAGGATTGAATGCCTAAACCTACATACTGACTCAAACACAATACATAATAAATAAGAGGTAACTATAAAATCTAATATAATAATAATAGAAACATCATTCCGTTTTCATTTCTCAAAATGCACATACGATAATTCAGTGCATATTAAATCTAATCATCAAAAGAATTTGTATTGAATTACAAAGGAATAACTTAGCTATTTTGACTTAGAGGATCTGAACTCTACCTCCCTCTACTTTGCTGGGCCCTTTCCTATTCCTAAAATGTCAAAAAGTATCATAATAGTGAGTACAACTTGCTCAGTATACTTCTATATCTAACCCATCATAGATATGATTATCCCTTTTTAAATATTAACAATAATTTGTTTGAAGATTCATTTAATCAATAAGAAGAGAATTATGTAATAGCAAAAGTGATTACAAACATGTACTTGGGTTTTCGGTGATTACTTGCAATTTTATAAACAATCTTTACAGAATTATCAGAGGTGTTAGAGAATACTTGCCATCATAATCTTACTAGCACTTGACTTTCTCATTTCATCTTAATTTATTTAGATACATCATAATATTCTAGATTCAGATCAGAATAACATTTATACATTAGTTATTAAAATTTTAGAGTATGCAATGCATGAGTAAACTTTACATGTCCTAATGTCTGCTTCTAATTTCACTTCCACTTATAACTTCCTTTAGCCTCCCACACCTGCATGTAGCAAGTGGGGCCAAAACATAATAGAACAAAACATAACCGAGTAACATCCCACACTCATTCAGTAAGTTGGGCCATAATACCTCACACATCTACACGGGACAGATGAGGCTAGAATAGAACACATAGAGCACTTATCACTTTTTAGAATTCAGAGCTCCTTCAATGTCATACTTAGAGTTATGCAATTTGAATGCAATAATAAGTAATTATGATAATGTATTTTATACCAAAGTTGCCTATAGTAATTATCATTGCATGTATGAAAAAGCTACCACAAAACTTTTTTAATTCCAATTATAATTTTGGATGTATATCCAAAATAGTGTTTTATGCTAGTTTATAGAACTATCATGAAAGCTAAAAATGCCTCATTTATGCAATACATACAGAATTCAATATAGAGAACACCAATTGATAAAAATTTGACTTTGAGTTAAAATATTCAGTAAATCATTTAATAACATACTAACAAATACACGGAAAAAATAGATTTCCTATACAACGTTGAAAGGTAGCTCATGTTTATTTCCTATATATATTATACTAGGCCAATCCCTCTATCATTTATTATTGCATTAGCTTTAAAAGAAGTAAGCCAAAATTAGGGTCAATTTTAAATTGCAACATCAAATGGATAATGTCCAACACATGGTTTAGCCATCTCCATTTTGTTATAAATCTAAACCTAGCTAAGTACGGTGATTTGATGATAACAAATATTATTATTTCTTTATTATTGTTATTATTGCATATCTATTTTGTTTTCCCTGCTAAATGACCTTCCAGGTCCACAATATCTCTTGTAATGCAAATAAGCTCAAAATCGAGTAGACTAGGGTTGAGTTTGTATGTAATTTTAATTTCAATATGCTTTTTTATTTTTTTTGAGTCAAGTCATGTATCTGATGGACCCCAAGCTAAGTAATCTTGCACACACATAATCTTGAGAAAAAATTTGACGAGTTAGAGTATTCTCTATTTTAGACCTAATCGTATAAGACGATCAATTAAAAATAGGAACCCTAATTAGGATATCCTAGTTGATTAGGAGTGATTAAACTAATCGTACTAGATGATCCTTATTTTCCAAGATGATTAGTTCAGATTGTGATAAATAGTTGCCAATCACAATTTAGGCAATATTTTAATTTTTAAATTTTGTGTTAATCATACCTAAATTAACATGTGATTAGGAGAACAATTATGGTAAAACATAATTTGATACAATCGTACAGGACAATCTGTGACGATCGTCCTGGATGATAAAGAACATGTTAAGATGATAATGGATCGCCACTTATCATACTAAACAAATATTATAATTTTTCAACAAATCGTCGTCCAGGATGATTGATCTTTTTCATCCTTAATGATAAAGAAGTACGTGGGACAATTAGGCATCACCATGTATCATACTAGATGAAGTTCAATATATTTAAATTAATCATTCAGGAAGATATTATAATCATTCAAGATTATCAGCTTATTTCTCTTAAACTATTCGTATAGGGCAGTACAGTTTGTCCTGGCTGAAAGGACTATTTTATACTAATCATATAGAATGATCTATCAATCATATTGGATTATCAAAAGTACAGAATTGAAACTTATGGCTTCTTTTAGAGGCTCTCTATTTAAGCAATTATATATATTAACCCTTAAGTTAATCTTTTATTGGAGAGGATATCTGAGAGAGAGCTTAGAGAAGGAAGAGGGAGGGCTTGAGAGAAAGAAATCCTTGTGAGGGGGAGTTCTGAGGGATTCACAAAGGTTGCTCTAAGCAAGGTGTTTATCATCTTCTTCAAGTTGCTTCTCTTGTTCCTTAGTGGCTCTA